AAACACACCAGTCTGATAAAAATGACCTGCTCACTGGCTTGGCATTTATTCTGGCTGCACCACAAATTATTGTAGCCTTATCATCAGTTCGTACCTGTGGCGACACAGCGAAATGTTGGAATGCTACTTAGGATAAGGTCTCATCAAACACAGGCACTAAGACGTGACAGACACAGATGTTGCCCTTAGTCAAGGAACTGCACCTTAACAACTCCTCGAGCAGACCAGATTTGAAGGAGGGAGTTTAACAGAAAAAGCAATACCCATCATGTCAAGGGTCCCCAGCCCTCTTTGGCCTTTCAAGATTTTAATATTTTTCTCCCTTCTACTTATTTTCCTAAAAAAGGGCATTTAAAGAGCCCTTCAAATACACATCATAGCACACACAAGCTGAGACTTTAATCACAGCAAGGCAACGAAGAACAGTAATTTTCCCCTCTTGTGCACAGGCATTAAAAAAGCTGTAAGCTACAGTAACAGGCATTTTGTGCACGCTACTAGCCAAACAACGCACATAACAAAAGAAAATAATGACTATTTTTGCACAAACTAAGAGCTCTGCTTTGCTGTGCAGCATTAAAATGCATTTGCCCCACAACCCTCATTCCCCAAACTGCAATGACAGCACCTCTGCTAGAGCCACTGCAGAGCAAGAGGGTATGCTGGGGCACCCCAGCTCGAGAGGACGGCTGCGGGTGGTTGGAAGGCAGGCACCGGGCACTGCCCTGCCCACGCTCGCTGCTGCACAGGCAGCGGCTGAGCACCGCGGAGGCCAGCAATACGGCTCAGCACAGCCACAAGGCAATCTTAAACCACAAGGCAAGTTTGGCCAAAGCTTCTCTGTCAAGACTACAATGGAGAAAAACAGTAGCTAGCATTTAATATTATTCCATTTATGTTGTTCGATGCTGTCATGATTACGAACACGCTGTGAAGTAGAAGCAAAAAGCAACGTTCTTTTATGCTGTGAGCACTCCTGCTGTAGTTTTGTGCCCACAATACACATACTGTGTTTATACCACCACACAAGAATTTTAGGATTATGAAATATAGATCCTTCTTGTTATTTTTAAACATGCCATCAAAAATTCATGGCATTTATCTACCACAACTCTACCTGTGTAAATTCTCTGACTGGGATCTGAATTATTTCCATTGCTTAATTTTTTTCAGAAAGCAATTTTCTAAGAACTCATAGAATTGTCCAATGTTTGGGGGGGAATACAGGCAGAAACATCTATTTCTACGCTCTCCAAAGAAGAAAACTGAAATATTTTATATGAGAAAATGTCACTGAATAGATATCAGTTGTTAATTCTGAGGGAGAAAAATCCAGCAATGTGAATTACTCAGCACTATAGCTGGTTTTTGCCTTTCATCTCACTGACAGCATCAGTGATAGAATGATAACCCAAAAGAGAGAACGAGAGAGAGAGATAAAAGGACACAGAGATATACTGCAGCAACATTAAGTATACACAAGTTGAGTATTTATGTGCTGTGAGCATAGCATGATCTGGACTGACACAATCGGGAAAAGGCAATGCATGAAGGGTTTTTCTCTTTCTTATTAATTGATCATTCTCTTTGCTACCAGAGGGAATTTAGGCCAATACTGCTGCTTTCCTAGCAGTTAGAGACATGATCTAAAGTAAAGGAGGGCGTAGGGGGGGAAACACTGAAATAATTCAACCTCCTTTTGTTTTTCTTAAACACTGCACATTGCTAGTGGTTTAATAAGAATGCCTTAGGTGCTGCCTAACTGTGCCAAATCAACAAGGACATCTCACAGAGAAGCCTCTCTTCTGCAGCTGCTAAATGCTGGCACCCTGCAAAAACATGTGTAACATGTTCCACCTTCAAAATAGTCCAATGTATTAATGAATTATGCAGCAATCAAATGTAATTCAACTTTCTCTTATAATAAAAAGGTGTGTTAAACTGAGGACTCTCCTCCCTGTAAAAATCCCTTTGCTCCTTCAAAGTGGCACTTTTTAACGATCTGAATGTTTCTCCCCTTCCTTGTCCCCCTCTCCTCTCTGAAGCACTCTAAGTAATGGCAGAAGATCCATATGTATTTTACAGCACAGGAAGTTTTACTGGGGGGGATGGAGAGGGGGAGGAGTGGCAGAAGTAGTTATCAACTCCACATCGCGTATGAGCCAAGGCAGGCATCTGCTTCCCGGACACATTCATGCCTGTAACATTCCTAAACTGCTGAGTGTACGTACAGCTGCCTTCCCACAGCATTCAAAGCTCCTGTCTTCTCCCATATTGCTGATGGCACAACAGCAGCACTGACAATTTGCATGTTTGTGCAGTATTCCTGCACTGAGAAATGCAAGGGGAAAATATATATGTATTTCAAATTATACCTCTCCTTACATCACTAAGAAGGCCAAGAACAGAGGAGGCCCTTTTGCTGTATAAACAGGCTTGCTCAAAGCCTGCAGCTGGCACTGGATGGCAGATGGACATTTTCTGTCACCATTTCTCCCACCAAAGCAGCAAGAGATGTTGCCAGGCCGCCTCTGTTTCTGCCTACAGCCAAAGACAAATCACACAGAGGTGGGAGAAGAGCAGCACATTGAAGCAACTGATAGAAGCCTGGCTCCCTTCTGAAATACCTCTTCTCCTGCTTCTGCTTAAGAATATGCTGCGTAGCAGAGTGCATACTTTGTGATTTATTTATAATTTGCACCCTTTTACTAGCTATTTTTAAATAAGTATCTAAGCAATCTGCACAATCTCTAAAATCTAGTATAATAATTATGTTTTGCCTGGTACATATTGTAAGTACCAATTTAAAGGTGGTTTTACTGGTTATGGTAAACAGTTTCCACAGAAATTGAAGGTACTAAACCACCATCATGAAAAATTCTTTTATTTGCAGTACGATTTTCAAAACATTTGATGTAAAACCAGAGTTCAGTTTCTCAAATGCAAAACAGATGCTGCTGGGCTTTTCAGAAATTGCTCAACGAATGAGCAGGGCTCTCCAGGGCACTTACAGGTGCTCTGAAAAATACTGGCTGGTCAAAGGGAATCAGATTTATTTTTAAACAGCTACTGGGTACTGAAATTAGCTTCACTCACTGTCTGGCATCAAAATGTACCCGGCAGCCTGCATCTTCCAAAAATCTTTTGATATCTGAACTTTTCTGAAAATGTGCCCATGATTGCAGCCAACCGGCTCTTCCGGACATTTTGTCTCAGCAGCTGCTTCCCTCTCCTCCAATCCCAGAAACCTGATTGCAGGAAAATAAGCAAAAAATATACATCCCCCTTCCTGGCATGCTTCCGTAGGACTGCTACCTGCCAAACTCCCAGAGCAGTGGGTGAGGAGGGGGCAGAAGAGCCCCCCCGCAAACCCCAGCCACCCCTGCCTGCAGGTGCACAAGGTGCAAGGCAGCATGAAGAGGAAAACGCACCAGCCAAGCAGCAACTGCCCTCCTTTGCAGTGCAGCCTCGTGACCCTTTCACTCCCAATTTGGTTCATCTCGAGCATCAAGGTCAACGCAGCAATGTTGGTTCTCTACTTAAAGCAGATTTGAGAGTACTGAGCAAGGCAGTGCTGGCCATCCCTGAAAGTATACCATGACCCTGCACGGCAGCAAACTGAATGGGAAATGATCTCTGGGACCCTGGAGGCTGGGAGATATTTTGCACAGAAAACATTTTATGACCCTTTCTCTGAAAAGCCTGATCCTCCCATCTCTTCCCCATGCAATTAAACAGTACTTACATGAGAAGAGCCACTGATTTCAAACATTTCCTCGCTTGATTAAGGCTTGCTCATCAGAAACAGACTTGTCCTAATTCAGTGATGGGACTCAGATAGATTAACTTAGCTAACTTGCACATATGCTTTAACGCAGACAAATGGATTGTTTTGTTCTTATTAATATCAGCTATTATCTTTATTTCTGCTTTGACTCATATTCTGAATCTGAGTCAAGACTTCTTGACTGCAGAGCATGGCTGACTGAGAAATTAGGCTTTACAATTTAACGGAACACATATGTGCTTGCCTCAGTCTGATAATGTATGCAGACTATTATCAGAAAAAAGAAAGCAGATCTCAAGTTCGCAAATGCTAGAAGGGATAAAACAAAGGAAGTGTATCTTCAGCTACTCAGTGGCTAAAGATTCAGCTAAAGGATTGCTTTGTCCATTTCCACTTCCACTTTTACATTGCAGAGGTTAACACATTTGTTTCAGGGTATTTAGGCGATCTCAGATTTAGTAAAAGACTTTTGGGGTTTTTTTAATAAAATGTAAACTTTGAACAAATATTGACCTGATAGGCAAATTTAAAGAGTTTCCATTATGCACAGCATATATTTCATTCATGCACATTTTATGTAATCTACAGCAATTTTATACCTGACATCTACAAAATATTGTCCTAACAAACAGAAGGTCTTCAAAAAAATTCTCCCATGTTGCATGCAAATAACAAAGCACTCCTGCAAAGGCAGTGGGACATTTCACAGAAGACAACTGCAACACACAGGATCGTGTAGCCATCATGCCAACGAACACCCAGAGAAAGAAACCCACAATTTGAGACAGTGATTAGATATTTGGAAATATTATACAATAAATCTTGCTATTCTCAAACTTATGAAGAAGCTCATTAAAAACAACAAACTTGGAGTTTAGTACAATGAGAAAATGCTAGCTACCAAACCAGAAAGATTTTCTTCAATAGGCATCAAAAGTAAATTATATTTACTAGTAAAAAGAACTACCGTGTATACATTTTTCATGGATACCATTTTGATATAAAGATTAATGTAATAAACTTTCAAAAAAATTTTATTTGTCTTATTTAAAAAGCTGCAAAGTTAGAAGTCATGAAACATGCTTGCCTCAGAAGAGTAAAACAAATCACCTTAAAAATCAGATATCTCTCCTTGCAAGAAAATAGGTGAGTTTGCATTAACATCAAAAGCAAAGCAAATTAAAAAAGCAAAGCATAAAAAGGAAATTCTTACTTTAACTTCCACTGTCTTCCCACCTTGCTCAATATGCCTCTCAAGATATTCAGAAGACAGCAGGTCACTGCAAGAAACAGAAAAAAAGAACCGTAAGCCTCGTGCATGTGTTCTTGCACTCCCTCTCAGCAAGCATTGATTAAACATTTACATTTGAAAAGGGCAAAACCTGCAGGATACTTTTCCTAAAATGTTCATAAAAATCACTGAAACAACCACCTCCAATGGAGTTACACAGTGCACAAGCTGACCCCAACTGACGAAAGGGCTATTCCATACCATATGACGTCATGCCCAGCATATAAAGCTGGGGGAAGAAGGAGGAAAGGGGGGACGTTCAGAATGATGGCGTTTGTCTTCCCAAGTAACCGTTACGCGTGATGGAGCCCTGCTTTCCTGGGGATGGCCGAACACCTGCCTGCCGATGGGAAGTAGTGC